ATCTTCAGGGGGCTTCCAATCAATCGAGTGAGAGAGGCGCACATGCAAAACAAGAAAAGTCAGAACCAAAATGTGTTTGGGTAACAAGGCAGTGAAGGTGGATCTTATAGTTAGTAGCCTTATAATAACTTATAGTTAGTGAAGCAACAAAGCTCTGATTAAACCAAAAGGGAAGACTACCAACCCTCCACATCTTTTTCAGGTTATCTAGAGGCCTAAACTATCGCTGCCATCCTGGTCTCCCATTTATATGTAAATTTAAATGAACTCAAAAGAAGTTGATTTAATCTACTGGTTACTGACATCTGATGGCCATATAATATTTTCATCCAAAGCATCAATGTTATGATCAAAAAGCTTTGTTACTGGAGTTTGAGAATTTAGTCTTTGCTAAATGGTGTGACATTGGGTCAGTTTCTGTAACTTTTCATAGTCTCAGTTGCCTTTGCTATAAAATGGGCACAATACCACTGCCATGGTGCTGTCCTGAGGAAACAATCAGGTCACAGCTCTACATACCTTCTTCCTAGCTCTAAGACCCCATAGCCTTGATGAACCATCTCCCACTTGAGGTGAAATCTGGGCAGAGTCCTCCCCAAATAGTTGTTTCTATGCCATGCTTCATTTTAATCAGTTTCCATAGGGTAGTATTCACTTCATTGTTAGTGAGACACAAGACAAGTGTGTAGACAAGTCCCCACTCTGCTTATTTAGCTTCGAACTAAAACAAAAACCTCTTTTAAAGCTAGAGAGAATCAGTCTAATTCTCACAAATAGAAATGAAGATAAATCTACATAACTTTAAGAATGCTACAACCATATCACTTGCCTGCTGCAGAGACTGAAGTATGCTGTGTCCCCGTACAGTATGGTTTGCATTTCCCCTCCCCTGTGGTTCCTTCTTTTTTCCATTGTCCCATGTCCCCCTTGCTTATCCCCTTCCTTTCCTCCCTTTTCTCTTCAAATATTAAAAATGTCCACAGGGTATCTAGTGAATTTCTTTCTAGCAGATCCGTTTTCATCTAAGACATACACCAATCCCAGGAATCTGGAAGGAGGAGATATCCAGATTGGGTGGTAAGAAGGACAGAGGGCTCTCAGGGGTCTGCATCAGCTCTGACCCCTAAACAAAATCCAATGTGTGCATTGAGATGTCATATGTCATTGACAGGTTTTTTTTTTAGAGATGTAAAAGAATCCACAAAACTACAATAAGCAGTAAGAATTAAAATAAAACTAACTCGGACAGATGTGGCTACAGTACGTGATACTAATGTACATTAAATCAAAAGATTAACACGTGCTTCTTGATTTAGAATGTCCCAGATTAATGTACTGTAGAGCTTGTCAAGGGCACCCATTTTGCTCTCTCTCACAATATAAATTACTGATTTGGGGCAAGGAAAAAAGATCCATTCTAACAGAAAATCACTAGTCAGATTTTTTCCAAAGTTGTATATCTAGACTGAGTACAGTGGCTCACACCTATAATCCTAGCACTTTGGAAGGCCAAGGTGAGAGGATTGCTTGAGTTTAGGGGTTCGAGTCAGTCTAGACAACATAGTGAGACCTTGTCTCTACAAAAAAAATTTAAAAATTAGCTGGTTGTGGTGGCTCGTGCACCTGTAGTCCCAGTTACCCAGGAGGCTGAGACCGAAGGATACCCTGAGGCCAGAAGGTTGAGACAGTAATAAGCCATGATGGTGCCACTACACTCTAGCCTGAGCAACAGAGTGAGACTCCGACTCAAAAGAAAAAAAAACTGTATATTTAAAGCAATTCTATCTTAAGCTTTTGTTCATTTCCAAGGTCTCCAACTTTCACCAGAGATTCAGGATGATGGCTTTTGTTAGTGGCCAATAGGGAGTGTGAAATGGACACTCTGACACCACTGCTCCCAGGAGAATAAGTCTGCAGTGTTTGGTGCAGGCAACACCTCCCTTGCAGCTCTCTGGTTACTTGTGTGCTCTGGGAACACACCCTGCAGAGTGCAGTCATCACAATAGCCTGTGTGTGACCTTCGGGAAAGTCCTTGAAAACAGTGAAACAAGAGTCTTAGCTGAAATCTGGAATCCATTCCAGTCTTACACAGGAAGAAAATTAGGCATAGAACAACAAAGTCCACAGTTCAGAGAAACCTGGGGAGGCTCTGGCTGACATTAAAATCGTGGAAGATTTTTTTTTTCTTTGCTACTTTGTATTTCACAAAGACTTTTCATCTGAACAGCCCAAAACTGCTAGAAAATACCACATGGTTAGTAGATGTCAATAACTGGTTTCTCCAGTGAATAAAGAGAGAGGACTAAGAACAGAGATGCTGAGTGACATATTCAAATTCACTTAGTTAACACTTTTCCAGGCTACTAAGTAAATTCTATTCTTTCAAACATAAGTGGCCAATACTACAATTTTTTTCCTTTAGATTGATGTGTGAGCAATAATGGGGGGAGGGAGCTTGTAGAGAGAATAGCTGTATCCTTAAGCCCCGACTCTAGGATAGCATTCATTAGCCCAAACATCACAGGCCTGGGAGCATGCATTCCCTTAGAACATGAGCCAGCAGAGTGGTGTGTTTACTCAGCAAAGTTAACTCAGCTAACATTTGTGAGGTAAATCTGTTTCTGTAAGTACAGATCAATTTCCTTTGTTTCCAGTTGACATTATTCACTATTAATTTGCCATAGTATATGATTTATTTCACACATATACATAATTATAAACCTGCACTACCTTTGGAAGCATTTTCCTTCTTTGCAGCAAAAAGAGAGATAAAACACTTCTGAGCCAAATGGTGGCATAAAGTCCAGGAAAAATCAATTGGCAAAGAAAGCTGATTTGGAATCGTGTTTGAGAATACACCTAACATTTGTCTAGAAGGTCCCTCAAAAGGGTACAAACCCTGAAGCAAATAGGAAGATTCGAAAGTAATCCATCTAAGGTAGTAACATCTCAGATCCAGTCCCAGAACACTTATTTATATACATGAAGAACTTAATTTTGTATTTTTCTTCAGTACCTTCACACAGCTCATTTTTTTCTTTTATTTTTTCTCCTTCTTTTTTTTTTTTAAAGGTAAATGGAATTACTTTGGTCTCCAAAACAGATGCCAGTTTGAACTTTATTCTGCCAGCAAGTATTTGGTTTGGCTCTGCAGGGCTCGAGTTGAAAAAAATATTTGCCGATTCCAAAAAGATTTAACGAGCTTTGCTACGGAGGCTGAGGCCATTTGGCACGTCACAGGGACTGTGGCATAGCAGAGAGAACTCTCCTGACCACAGATTTTATTTGCCCAAGGTAGCCAACACTGGGAGTTCAGATGATTCCTTAGGTCAAGAAGCTTCAAGTCGAAGGAGTGAAGTTTCCAAGAGAAAGTGACCAAAGTGGCGTCAAAAAATTCTTGCTGACATTGAAAAGGAAGTCACTGGGTCTGACTCCACCCCTGCACAGGAATTGAGGGCTAACTTTCAGAACTGTCAACAACATCCTCACACCAACCACCAGACACAGGCTCTAATACCACCAGTCAGCAGAGCAAATGAATCTCCAACTTCTAGCAAAAGCTAGTTTTACCCAATATCAGATGCTAAAAAATATGCCACAGTGTATTTTGCAGTCATCTGATACTTTGATTAGTTTTGGAGCCAGGATTTAAGTATATGAAAATGAAATAACCTACTTCAAGAAACTCCACTAAATACAATCAGCAAGTTTACAGAGAAGACAGACACACATTGCTTTTACTAATATTTAGTAGACTACAGATGCATAACTCTTATCACTGTGATTGGAAAGACTGACCTTATTGGACCCAAATATTCTACGTTACTAGTCACTGAAGGTTGTCACCTGAAATCATGCATTCAGTAAGGGTTGCAAGAAAATAAAGTTCTTACCCTTTCAAATCAACATCACATCAGACAACCACAACAAAAAACACAAAATATTTTCATAATAGTGTGTGCTTAAGAATCAAATGTCTGGAGGCTGGGTGTGGTGGTTCATGCCTGTAATCCCAGCACTTTGGGAGTGCCAAGGCGAGAGGATTGCTTGAGCCCAGGGGTTCAAGGACAGCCTGGGCAACATTGCAAGACCTGTCTCTGCAAAAAAAATTTTTTTTTAATTAGCCAGGTGAGGTGGTGCATGTCTGTAGTCCCAGCTACACAGAAGGCTGAGGTGGAAGGACTGCCTGAGCCCAGGAGGTCAAGGCTGAGATGAGCTCTGACCATGCCATATCACCCTAACCTGGGCGAGAGAGTAAGATTCTGATTCAAAAGAAAAAAAATCAAATATCTGTTTTAAATCGATACACGGACAGGAAGAGTGGCATTGAAACTGACTATGGCTGGGCACATTGGCTCAAGCCCACAATCCCAGCACTTTGGGAGGCCGAGGCAAGAGGACTGCCTGAGCTCAGGGGTTCGAGACCAGCCTGGCAACTTGGTGAGCCCTCTCTCTATAATAAATCAAAAAATAAGCCAGGCGTGGTATGTTCACACCTGTAGTTCCAGCTACTTAGAAGGTTGAGGCAGAAGGATCGTCTGAGCTCAGCATAGCAGGTCGAGGCTGCAGTAGCCGTGAGCATGACACTGCACTCCAGCCTGGGCGACGGAGTGAAACTCCAATTCCAAAAAAAAAAGAAACTGACTACTTTGAAGGAGACACTCTGTAATCTTTTTGTGAATTCACTTGATGAGCAAATATACATATACTTGGTCATACCCTACTTCAGCTCCTAAGGATCTCCCCAAACTTCTAAATGCCCCTTTCATTAATACCACATGCCGATCCAATGCTTGTTTTATGGTTATCCAACGCCATAGGTCTGCAACAAATGTCCTCAAAGAGAGAGCCAATGTCTACACCACCTTTCCACAGAAAGACCTATTCACCAAAACAAAGACAGAGCCCTCCACCTGGCTTAACTAAGACTTTGGAGTCAAAGTAGAAGTCAAAAGAAAAAGTCATGAAAGAATGAAAGGCTGATTATAACCATGACTTACCATTTTAGCTTCCGAATGCATTGGCTGGACCTGGGGAGAAGCACAGGGGTTACTGAGATTCGGACCTTGCATCCCCATGATGCTGGAGTTCACTGACATCTGTCTCTCCATCTAAGAGAAAGGAAAGCAACAGAATTAGAAGCCTGAAAAAGGCAGTCCAGGTCATAAACAAAGCTACACTTCTCTTTCAAATGGATCATTTAGCATTTCTTTGAAGAACTCCTGAGAAAGTATGTGGTTTGGTGCATGGTAAGCAATGTACTCCTGAGCCTTGAACTCCAAGCGCATCCGAAGCTGGGCCTTCTATAGAAGATGCTGCAGGCCAAGGAGTGTTATTACGGTAGAACCTTTCCAAACAAAATTACCAAATATTTCCACTTCTGCAAAGACTCCAACTACCACTAATGCTTATTTTGCAGCTGAAAGGAATCATATATGCATAGAAAAAAAGGATATATAATATACCAAATGGTTAACTCAGAGTATCTATGACTTTTTGTTCCTCTCTAAATTTTATACAGTAAATGTGAATCTTTTGGGTAATAAAAAAAAGAACAAAGTTAGTGTTAAAAAGTTAGACTCTCAAATATGGCGGGTCTTCCTGTCATTCTAGCTCATCACACAATCAGAATGATCCAGTGGGTATCTGAGATGCTGCCCTGAGCTCTACTCTTAGTTAACCTGGTCAAGAGTCTACATGGCCACAGTTTCAGGCCTCGTCTCACATCAGGGCTAGACCTTTGGGTAGGTGAGGAAAGAATAGTGGGGGTTTTGTATTCCATGTGAACAACGGCTCCCACATTGTCTTCCTGCTGGCCTGCCAACCTGTCTAGAACAAGCATCACTCAAATACTTGAATTGAGTTCTGGCATTTTTATCTTCAGGGTGTTCCTATTAAGAAGTAAATAGAGCAAAATTTCTACTTCAGTCCAGGAAGGGTGTGTCTGATTAATAATATTTTCCATTTAGTGGAGAATTAACACTTTTGAAAGAATGAGAATAAATCAAGTACTCTTAATTCCAAAATCACACAGAAAATAATTAGACTTTGGAGTGGGAGATTCTTCAATGTAAATGTGTGCCCATTTTCCAAAGGGTAGAATTAAAATGTAATGGTTGGGAATTTTAAGGAACCAGATTTCTGCTCAAAGCTAGTTTAGGTAGTCTTGGAAAATACGGAGTTCCTCATCACTGGAGGTGTTCAAGGCGTGGAAGACAAAATTTTCACCAATAAGAGTGAAGTTCAAGAGTGATAGTTAAACTAAATGACCTTTAAGGGTCCCTACCCTTGTTGAGATCCCAGGACTGCAATTCCTGTTGTAGCTTCCTCAGAGACAGGGATATAATTATGACATCAATCAGTGGGTTAGCCAATGGATAGTCCCTGTGACAGTGTAGAACCATCAGCCTCACCTTAGCCAGGCAATCAGTCTTCCAGGAGGGTGTGAATGTGCGAAACTTTCAAAAGGAGCTCATGAAGGCAAAGTTTCTGTACATTCCAGAACACTTCAATACAAATTTTTGAGGCCTTACCAATTCAGTAAAATAAAATGTTCACTCCCACTTACCCCCTAAATCTCTGGACAGCCTGGGTATGGTACTCTAATCATTTAAATTATTTTTTTTAATTGTGATAAAATAAACATAACAAAAAATGTTAAACATTTTTAAGGGCCATTAAGTACATTATGTTCAGTGCCATTAAGTACATTCATGTACTTTAATTATTAGATATGAAGAATTAAATAATTTTATTGCTCTAAAAAAATGCAAATTCTGCCAGATGCCCCAGCACTTTGGGAGGCAGAGGCTAGAGGAGCCTGAGCCCAGGGGTTCAAGGCTAGCCTGGGCAACTTGGTGAGATCTCATCTCTACAATAAATCAAAAAATTAACTGGGCTTGGTGGCACGCGCCTGTGGTTTCAGCTGCTTGAAAGACTGAGGAGGAAGGATCATCTGAGCTCCACAGATCAAGACTATGGTGGCCGTGAGCATGCCCCTGCACTCCAACCTGGCAACAGTGAGACTCTGATTCAGAAAAAAAAAAAAAGAAAAGAAAGAAAGAAACGCTGAAGTTACAGCACCAGAGTTGAAGGCACGATAATAAGGAAGAGAAGACTCAGAATCCTAGAGCCTGGAACTCTTAGGATATACTTTTTAGACATCTCATATCCATTTTCATTAGTAACGTTTATGTCATTCAAGACAGGGTTTGTCAACTTCAGCACTACTTACATATTGCTCCAAATAATCCTGCATTATGGGCCTGCTTTTGCGTTGTAGATGTTTAACAGCATCCCTGGCCTCTACCTGCTAGATGCTGTAATATTCCTTCCAACCCAGTTGTGACAATGTCTCCAGATATTTCCAAATATCCCCTGGGGGACAAAATCACCCCCATTTGGGAATCATTGCTCTAGACTGACACTTATTGTCATGGCGCAGCCATACACATCACCAACATAGATTTGGGGGATCGTGTGAGGTGGGAGTGGTTCTTAACTATGCACCTGAACTTTTACTGCCACTCTGAAATATCAAAAGGATTTCAAGCTGTATGAATAGATGATGTGATAGAAAGAGGTTTCTATGGACCCCTTCAGCCCAAGTGTCTCTCTCATCTTTGACCCTGGGAATGGTGCACAGTTTAGCCAACTGAAAAAAATGTCTCTGCAGTGATATTTTTCTGAACAATATGCATAGAAGTTCTTTAAAAAAAAAAAAAAAGAAACTAAATTTGAGTAGGATATATGTAAAGCCTAAATGAAGACAGCTTGTGGTGGAGTCTTCATACAATTAGTTGGGTTGAATCAAACGTAGGATAATTGCATTGAGGGTGCTGTTTTTCCCCATCTAAAGGGGTAAAGACCATCAGCTCAGTCTGTCCTCTAGTCCAATGTTGCAAAGATTGCTTCCAACCTGGACTACCCCATGCTTACAGTGGGCAGGACCATTTCTCTACAATGAATCCTCCAAGCCCTTTCTCCAGTCACAGCTCTTCACTTCAAACTGTGTGATGTTGGACAACTCCCTTCAACGTCTCACTCTGCAGCTTTTCATTGGTGAAGTGAGTATATCAATAATTGAGTATGTCAATAATTCCTGCTACTGCATCCCCACTGGATTGCTGTGAGAATTAAATGAAATAACAATAGAAGCAATTTCTTTAAATGCAAAGATGCTCTGCAAGATATTGTCAGTATTGTTGTGGGAGGATTTTAGTTGAATGGTCGTATCACCCATAAGGTTTTTGAGAGTTCCTGTGGCTCTGTGAATACTAACACCAGTCATCTTCACCAAAGCACAGTCCTGGGGAGAATAAACAAGAGCCAAGGGAGGAGATCCCAGGAAAGGAGAGAAAGATTTCCTCTGGAATAGCCTGTATCTCCCTTCGACATTTATCTGTTTTTGCTATTGTTTACCATTATATCATGATTATGAGTGGAGACTCAGGAGTCAGACTACCAGGATATGAATCCTGACTCCATTACCCACTAGCTCTGTAGCCTTGGCCAAGCCACTCAGCCCCTCTGCACCTCCGTTTCCTCATCTGTAAAATGGGTATAATAATGGTGCCTACCTCCTAGGTTTGTTGTGAGAGTGAAAGGAAAGAATGTGTGTTGAGAGAGTGGGCTCTGGAGCCTGAGATCTTAGGTTCAACTTTCAGCTGCCCCACTTCTCAGCTGAGCAAGTGACCCGCCTTACTCTCCTCATCCAAAAAAACGGGGCTAATAAGAGACCTACCTCGTAGGATTGTTTTGAGTGTTGACAAAGTGCTTGGACAAGGACTAGCATATAGTAAGCACTCAGTACATTCCGCTGACATGATGAATAGAATATGATAACCAGAAGCGCATGCTAGCAGCTATTGTATATGATCATCATTGTTACTGTTCTGGCTGGACCACTCGCTGGCAATTTCAGGACACTGCACACAGCTTAGGCTGTAGAATTTGGAGTCATTATGAAAAACCGTTTCCCTGAACAAATCCCATTTGCTGAGCCTCACAGGCTCACTTGTCACCGGCAAGAAGGTGGGACCATGTCTCACAGTGAAGCACTGAAAGACAGGAAAGCCAACAAGATGCCTGGAGACAGGCAGTTGGGCCCTCACAACAAATAGTCACACAGCTCAAGCCTCCATTCAGAAGTCACTGGCTTCTCTCCTGTCGGTTTCAGTCTCAGATTTTCCTTTGCTCTTTCAAGAGTGGCAACCTCAGTGCAAGTGACAAGCTATGGCGAGACACAAAGAAACACTTACTGGCATCAAGACGGCAGAAGATCCCGGCATTGTAGGGTTGGGCAGGGTCCCGGGCATGGAGGCTGGCATGGGTTGTCTCTGTCTGTTATGAAGATGTAGCAGAGAAGATAGAGAGCCTGGGACAGGCCTGGGACAAAGGAAAAAAAACAAAACAAAACATGACTCCTGATGCCCTGGGCCTGTTTCCCCAGTGTCCAGGACAGCAGGGACAACACTGTCACGTGTGTAGCAGATCAGATCCACTGATGGGAAAGCCGCATAATTGAGGATATTAGGGAAATAATAACAAATAAAACACAAGCCTGGCTTCCTTTGCTGCTTCCTAGTTAATACATCAAATTCCACTTCATTTCCTGACCTCTGTTATCTAACTGATGTTCAACAGAAACAAGCCAGCAAATCTTCTACAACTCCTGTATCTTAGGAGAGGGATTTTGTGGTGAAATCCTGAGTTTACTGATAAGTCTCAGTCCTCTGAGGTGTCTTAGAGTCTGAGATCTGTGTACATGTGTTTTAGCCACACTCTCCCACACCTCTGCCTGGAAGCCCACCTGGATTTTTGTTCTGGATACATTGTCACTCTGGATCTGCAAAGCAAACTTCATTCATGAATTCCTGACAGAAATCGTTTTGACTTTTCCATAGTTCTCTGCTGTGCATGGAAAAAAACAAAGTCAGAACACAAACCAAAGCAGCCGGCTCTCAGGGCAGCAGCGCAGCTGGCCTTTCTCAGGGTGAGTCCAGAGCCCAGCCTCCAATTACCAACCTCTCATTCCATAATAACTCGAGGTGTTAGGCTGTTTGACAGAAACTGATTTGGGCCTGACCTGCAGGACCTGGCTAAGCACTCCTCAGGGGAGTACGGCACATAGTTTCAGCTTTTGCTTCTATTTGACAGAAAAAAAAATTAAGGGCCTTAAATTGATTTAATGAGCCAAGGAATGTGGCACTGAGGGAAAAAGGGAATTGTTTGTGTTTATTAAAAATGGCAAACAAGTGACCTGCCTGGCTAAATTCTCACTCTCCTGATGCTTTTGCTCTGGGGAACTATATAAATGTCAAACTATTAAAGATTTAACAATAAACAAATAAAACAAAACAAACAAACAAAAACCACTCAGGACCTCTGAATCTTCCATGTTAAATAAGTTTATCCTGAATGTCAGGCTAGAAATTAGTGCTTCCAGAATTAATGTATTTTCTTAAAGGACAGGGGGCAGAGAGAGAGAGAGAGAGAGAGACACCCTCTCCCTGCAAAGGTGGCACAGAGGTGCTCTATGTAGGACAACAGTTTCCCCTGCTTTGGGGAAGGACAACGCTGTCTAGTGTCTCATCGGAGTAGCAGAAGGAGATGTTTCTGGGAGTTTCTTTGGTTCCCATGGGGAAGTAGGGGGTTTGAGGTGGGGGAGCGAATGCCAACATGTTCTTCCTTCGCATGGCTGTTTTAATTCCAACAAAGATGATGTTTTCTACCCTTTTAGCCCGAAAGCTCTCTTGGAAATACAGCTAACCATCAGAGTCACACATGCCACAGAAGGATTAGTCATAAACCAGCCAAATTTATGACCAGCATAGGAAGGCATATCTATGAAAATATAAAAGAATCTGAAAAGTCTTTCTATAGAGGTTATGTAGATGTACACAAATTAAACCCAGTTTTATTACTAGGATGTGTGGCTGAGGAGATGCACAGATAGCTAATGTAAGCTTATAACAACGAAATGAGTGTTTTCAGATAAACAAATGAAGTACTAGGGATATTTCTTGACTTGTCCCCTTGAGACCTCGGGAATATAGACTAACAGTAAGGACCATGAGGGCCTCTGAAGGTCCCTTAGCTTTTACCATCATAGGAGACTGCTGGGCCATTGCTTTACTAAACTCTGGTGTGGCCATGTACTTTTTGATCTTTGGTTGCCACCATGTTTTCCTAAGCTTTGTTTCTGTCCCCTACCTTGGGAGGTGAATCTCCTCCCCTTCTCCCTTTCCTCCTCCCCCTCCCCCCTCCCTTCCCCTCCTCTTCTACCTCTCTTACTATTGCTTCGTTAAATTCTTGGTGTGTCCAGGTGGATCATTGGACTATGAACCCCTCCCCTACCTTGAGGAGGTGAATCTCCTCTCACTCTCTCCCTGATTTACTTTCTAAATAAACTATATTTACCAATCTAAAAAAAAAAAAAGGAGGCTGCTGGTTTCAATTGCTCTAAAATACTACGATGGTAAGTTGTGACTTCACTGAGTCTTAAAGTCTCATTTGGAGGTGAATAGCTCTAATCAGATAGGACAGAGTATGGCTCAGTCAACAGATAATGTTTGTTTATATTCTTCCATCTTAATGCTTTGTCTGTCTGGAAACTTTATTGAAAATAATTGTGCCGGGCTCGGTGGCTCAGCCTGTAATCCCGCGCCTTTGGGAGGCTGAGGTGAGTGGATTGCCTGAGCCCGCGGGTTCGAGACCCGCCTGGGCAGGCGAGACCTCACTCTACAATAAATCAAAAAATTAGCCGGGCGTGGTAGCGCTCGCCTGTAGTTCCGGCTACTCGAAAGGCTGAGGCGGAATGATCGCCAGAGCCCAGCAGGTCGAGGCTGCGGTGGCCGGGAGTGGCCACTGCACTCCAGTCTGGGCGACAGAGTGAGACTCTGACTCAAAAAAAAAAAAAAGAAAAGAAAATAGTTGTATATCAAAGCATAGGAGAGGGACCCCAAAAAACCGTATTTTTTTTCTTTGGAGATCAGGCTTCTTATAGTACAGGCTTCCCCTGCTAGCTAAGTGTTCTGGGAACCCATCAGCATCAGTGTACCAGCTAGCGTTGTTGTGAGAGGTTGTATTCAGCTTCAGTGAATTTTTTTTCTTTTTTGGAGGTTCTTTCAACATTTGCCCATTTTATGATGGGTGATTTATAAGTGCACCTGCTTATACGAGCTGAGTATTCAGCAATTTTTGACCAAAAATGGCATGACCTCCATGCCCCGCCCTCCTTATTCACCCCATCTCGCCCTGAGCAACTTTTAAAAAAAAATTTCCCAGATGAAAAAAACCCTCAGAAGGAAACATTACACTGATGTGCAAGAGGTGAAGTGAAAAACAGCAGAAACACTAAAAAGCATCAAAATTGACACATTCAAAAACTGTTTGGGGCAGTGGAAAAAGCACCTGAATAGGTGTATTGCATCAAATGAAGAGTAATTTAAAAGTGACTGAAGTTTAAACATGTAAAAACAAATACACAATTTTTAATAAATTCCAGGTTGTTTTGGGTCCCCCTCATACAATGTTAAACAATGATCAGTTCTTCTAAGATTAATAATCTGAAATCCCTAGTTTCTTTCTTTTTTTTTTTTTTTTTTTTTGAGTTGGAGTCTCACTCGGTCGCCCAGACTGGAGTGCAGTGGCTGCTCCCAGCCACCGCAGCCTCGCCTGCTGGGCTCTGGCGATCCTTCCGCCTCAGCCTTCCAGGTAGCTGGAACTACAGGTGCGCGCTACCACGCCTGACTGATTTTTTGATTTATTGTGGAGATGAGGTCTCACCAAGTTGCCCAGGCGGGTCTCAAACCCGCAGGCTTAGGCAATCCACTCACCTCAGCCTCCCAAAGGCGCGGGATTACAGGCTGAGCCACCGAGCCCGGCTTAAATCCCTAGTTTCATAATGAGAAGTTTCACTGAGAGTATCCCAACATATAGCTCATCAGCCATCTATCCATTCAGCTATATATCCATCTCAATAGATGTATACATATATATCTATATACATATGCATACAGGTTTTTACCATAGATTTGTCTCCCTAGTCACAAAGGAGAACGCTTTAAGTACAGACAGTTAGAAACAAACAAAAACTGTTATACAGAAGACAACTCACAGCATTTATTTTCATTATGTTGGTTTGCAATATCACACTCAAGGACCAAGGGCAACATATCATCATTTACATTCAGTCTCCAACCTGACATATTAAAAATAATCCTGGTCATCAGGTGTTGCTTTTTTTTTTTTTTTTCCTGACGTGTTCTTTTTTAAAAAGAAATCAATTGAACAATTTAATAGTTATGAAATGAGGATGCAAAAGTAATTATATTTAAAATGAGTTTTTATTCTTCCCTAAAATGCCGAAAACTCCCAGTTATATAAATAGTTTGGAAATGTTGGTATGTTTTATTTAATTCAATGTTCTTATTAAGTAAGCTGTTTCAACACCTTGTATGAATCTATACTAGATTTTAAAATATCAAGTAGGCCAGACTCGGTGGCTCAGCCTGTAATCCCAGTACTTTGGGAGGTCGAGGCAAGTGGATTGCCTGAGACCGCGGGTTCAAAACCAGCTTGGGCAACTTGGTGAAACTTCGGCTCTACAATAAAATTAAAAATAGCCAGGCGTGGTAGCATGTGCCTGTAGTTCTGGCTACTCTGAAGGCTGAAGGGGAAGGATCGCTGGAGCCCAGAAGGTCGATGCTGGGTTGGCTGTGAGCGTGCGTGCCACTGCATCCCAGGCTGAGCAAAGGAATGAGACTCCAACTCAAAAAAAATAAAATAAAATAGAATATCAAGTATTTCCTCATTAAGATAGCCTTTCAGGGTACTGGATTCCCTTGAGATTATAAAATAATTTCCTAATGATACCAATCAGACTAATTAGCAATGCATACTTAGAGAGGAAATGATTATTTGAGATTCCTGTATGCTTGAATTCTGAATAATGTTGAAGTTATTGTTTTACACAGACTCTATAAATTATTTCCCCAACTCTCACCTACCAAACAGAAGAAGTTTTTTCAGCGTTTTGCTTGATTTTTTTTTTTTTTTTTTTTTTTTTGAGTCAGAGTCTCACTCTGTTGCCCAGGCTGGATGGAGTACAGTGGCACGTTTACGGTCACTGCAGCCTCAACCTGCTGAGCTCAAGTGATCCTTTCACCTCACCCTTCCAAGTAGCTGAACCACAGGCGTGAACCACCATGCCTGGCTAATTTTTTAATTTATTGTAGAGATGAGGTCTCACCAAGTTGACCAGGCTGGTCTAGAACCTGTGGGTTCAGTCAATCCTCTCGCCTTTGCCTCCCAAAGTGCTGAGATTACAGGCGTGAGCCACAATGCCTGGCTTATGCTTGAATTTTTAAAACTACAAAAACTGA